AGAGTAAATTCAAAAAAGGAAGGGACATAAAAATATCCCCACAGCGATCAAGACTTAACCTTTGGGAATTTATATATTGGATTGAGAAGTCTGGAGCCCAATGGAGCACCAAATTTAAGTCTTTTGCTTTTATAAACCACGCCAAGCGTACAGCTTTACCATTTCATATAAAGTAAGCGTGCACTTTTAGGAATCAGTGACTATCTTAGAATCAGCTCCTCAGCAAGAATTTCTCAGGGCCTTTGATTTGGTAAGCATCGTGCTAGGGGCTTAGAGAAGGAGATGGAGACTTATCCCTGGCCTTAAAGAACCTACAGCCTCGTGTGGAGAGCAAACACTAACGCACTTAAGCTCAGAGCAGAACGACCCCACAGAAGCAGGTACTTCTGTGCTGTGCTGGGTGGTACCGTGTGCACTAATTTCCAGAAGAATGAGAGAGATTAGGAGCTGGGGTATCAGTGAAGGCAAATTCATTCCGAGAGAATAGTGTAATTCTCAAGAGCTCAGGCCCTGCTGTCTACCAGGCCTGGGGTTCAAGCCCTGCTCAGTCATTTATCAGCTCTGTGAACTCAGGGAAAGCTGGCTGACCTCTCTGAGCCTCAGTTTCTTCATGTGCCAAATGGTGATATGGACAATACCGTAGGAGGCCCCCTACGAAGCCTGAATGAGTCAGTGTTCCACTCGCAGTAAACCATAGTTACCGTTTTCATTACTACACCACCATCGCCATTACTAGGCTTCAGAGGGCGGGGAGGTATCGTCGCAGGTTGAAGCCGACATTCCTCATACAGGAAGGGCAGAAGGAGTGCAGCTGTGGAGATAGGAAGGAGCTCGACATTTTACTCCTAGGCAAGGGGGGCTCGCTCGACCAGAATAGAGGGCAGTTCTTCATACGTGTGGGGTGAAAGGATTGGATAAAAGAGGGCAGGACCAGACTGGGGGGGGAAATCTTTTTGTGACCCCAGTAGAACCCTGTACCTTGACTCTGGGAAGACAGTGGCCCTGACAGGTGCTGGAGAGCAAGTAATATCCGTGTGTGACTCTTGGGGCCACAGGAAGCTCAAAAATGATTTGCTGTTAATTGGGTTGCAACATAGTAAGTACAGCTGAATCTTCCCTCTGTATTTGTACGCCACTCAGCATTTTTATTATAAAGGCTCCAAAGCGTAAGTAAAACCTAGAACAACTACACTCGGACTGTTTCTCAGAACTCCATTTGTCCTTCCATCTTCTCCGTGTTTCTGTAAACTCTAAACAGGTTTAGTATGGTTTATCCTTTATTTTTTCTCTTCTGATCCCCATTCTCATCATTAGCAACCGGCGGTCGTAGCAAGATAGGCGCAACCAGGTTTCAGATGTGAGAGGAAACAGACCCGTGAAAAGTTGTTGTTTTGAAGGAGTGAACATTTTCTGTTTCTTTCATGGAGAAGAAATCCTGGGCCATGAAAAGAAAAATAGTCTGACTCAGGGTGAAATTGAGAACAAGCATGAGCTCTGTAAGGAGACTCCCAGGCTTTTCAATATTTAGGATACTAGTATTTGTCTTCTTAATTCCCCAATGGGATATATTTAAAAAAAAAAAAAAATCCAAAGATAGGATTAATTATCTTGGAAGAATCTAATCTCTACCCCCATGTTTTAAACTGCAAGCAGGGAGATGTTTTAAACATTATGAAAAGAAGAGGAAATCTCTCCTGACAAATAAATGCCTTGAAAAATTAGATATTAGTACTAGTCAAATGCGCTTGCTTCTCACAAAAATTAAAATTGCGCGTTAGAGTGGAAGGATCCTTATACTACGCTCCCTCCTGATGCCACAGAACATAAGACTTTAGGAACGATTTCAGAGACAAAAGATTATATGAAACATCCAGCTCTCCCCCTTATGGGAAATTTCTTTTTTTTTTTTTTCTTTCACATCCCAGGCTCAATCATTTCCTAATGTGAAATTACAGATTTTTCAAATTACCATATAAAACTGCAAAAAAATTACACTTGTGACCACAGAAAAGATAGCACACACTATCAATTTGATTTTAAAAGGCATACATCTTTTATACTACCTGTCATTTTTATAATGCCTTTTACAAATTTAATCAATACATTTTAACATTCTATATACTTTAAGTGCAATATACAATAAATATTCAAGTTTCCTCTTAAACAGGCTTTAGCCTTTAAATTGTTAAAACGGCAGTGCCCTTTCAATCTACTTACATAATGTCATAAAATATACATTTCAAGGTAAATGAAGTCAGCTACTTCAATTTAGTCCCTCAAACTGGTAGTAAATGAGAGGTTAACACTATGGTGCCAAACCCATTATTGAGTAAATTTAGCACCTTGGACAGCTCTGTAAAATCTTTATTGCTTTCCTGACCTGCTCGTCATGTTCTGTCGGTGTGTTCGGTGGCTCTCAGCTCTGATTGAAAGGCAATATATTAGATCCCAACACAAACACGCTTGGGGGCTAGTTCACTGGGAGCGTAATGACATGGAGGTGAGAGCAATTTTCTGGTCACCGAAATCCAAGCACCTTGCAGGTCCGCTGCACTAACTCATAGAGGACCCGGGCATTTCCTTTCTCCTTCCCATTTTCGGAAATAACTAATAGAAGCTGAATCGCATGGGCAAAGCGGCACCAACTGCGGGCTCTCCCATGAACCCCAAAGTTGACTCTGTAGTGAAGGACATTTTGAAATGAGCGAGGTATCGTTTAAGGGCATCGCTCAAATGATGACCCAGGTTCGCTCTCCTCGAGACGGCTGGACGGCTCCTCAGTGCTGGGCTGGGGACCCACCGATCCCAGTGTGCCTGGTTGAAAAGCGTCCCCCATCTTCACGGATCAGAGAAGTCAACTGTAGGAAACAAGATTCAAGCGCTCCATTTGCAAAGGATTAATGGTGATGACAGCTTGAGGTATAGAAATAAGGAGTGGGGAAGAACAACCAAGTGGATTAAGTCATTGAAAATCTTTATCACCAAAAATACATGAGATTAAAATGTATAGCATACACAGGTAGCTGGAATTTTTTCAGCTTTACAAAAACTTCAAAGATCCTGGAGTTTCCATGGAATGTCCCCCCTCCCCGGTCCTGTGAGATTAACCCAGGCAAGAAGCACAGCTCGAAGGCCTCAGTGACGGCGCTCGGGATGGACGTTCGCAGCCAGAGACTGCCCCTTGTCTTGCTTTGGACAAGCAGGAGGCTTGTATTTCTTTCTCAAAATGAAAAGGAAGAAAAAATACTTTCTCCGCCAAGGCCCAAACTCTCGCAGAACTATTGATTTGAAGAAATACATGGGCACAGACGCAGAGAAGTGAAACCCTAGTGAGTAAACTCTCTGGACCCTGTTTTGTCTTCCCCTCCCTGAGGGCCGGGGAAGGCCGCGAGGTTTCGGGAGAGCAGCAGACGGCGAATCTGATCTGCAGATAGAGTTCAGTGTGCCCATAGTGCGGTGAATTATTAACCGCTGTGGTCAGACGACACTGCAAACAGAATGCGGTAAATTATCCGGTAGCTCGCGTTAGAAAAATAAAGACATTATTTCAGATGTATTGATTCAAACCCCATTGATTCTATAATGCTTTTCACTCCTGCTATGAAAAATAACTGAACTGTTTTATAAATGGGGTCCAGCAGCTTAAGGCAAGCATAAATGTTTATCAGGAACTGAAAACCCCTCTATCTCGCTTTTGAATTCAGGACATCATATATGTCCTACGTAGTCACTGCAGTGTGACAACTATTTTACCTTGTATCATGGAGAATTTAACATTGAGAAATGCTAATATGTGTCTCAACGCTTGTCATTTCAAGACTTGTTCCAGAGATTTTGAAGAGGCTATGGTGACGGCAAAATGAATGCAATTATGTCCCTATTTTCTGATCAGCGTCTCCAGTGTATGAAAATTGAGCACAGGCACTGCTGCTCCACGCAGAAATCGATTGTCTAAAATAAAGTTAAGACTTCTTTCTGAAACTTTTACCCACAGAAAAAAGATTGGAAACGTATCTTTTTGCAAGTCACCTCTGATAGCCATACACACCTGTACTCTGGTCGGTTCGGTTCTCCGGTCGGCCTCCATTCTGCACGTCTCGAGCTTACCTTTCCTTCCCACACTCCATTATAAACGAATCTGCAGAAAACTAGGGCAGAATGCAGAGGGAACGATTGCTTTTGGTTAGAACAACAACAAAATTACCACTCCACACACTTTTGTAGAGTGCCCGTATTATTGGAAACAAGCAGGCCAGCTAAACAGGGAAGCCCACCTGAATGAAAAGAGGGAGATATTTTTTCTTCAGAGGGGGTGAGCCACAGAGCCCAGCGCTAGGAGGTGAGTGAATGAGTGAACATGGAAGATGATAGACAGCCCCAGCGCCGGAACAGAAAACCACTACAAGGGAGGCACTGCCAGCCGTGGGAACCGGTGCCGGGGGAGTGGCTGGGAGCAGCTGCATCCTTCTGTGAGAGCCTTGGACGCCTCGGTGTGTGGGTTGACTATGTCCCCCCCCCATGCCGTGACTGTGCCACACGGGAGATAAAGGAAAGAAGTTTAATGCTACATGCTTCTACCAGCCGAAGATTGATTGGAAATCCCTCGAAAATGACCCGTCTGATAAGGTCATGGTTCCTGGAATAAGCAATTAAGTGCAAAATAAACGCATCTTAGGGATTCATAACATGCACCGAACGACATCGATTGTAGTCATCTAGTAAATGACCTCGCAATTGTACTCGGCAATAAACACACGGGCGCTTCCCCGTGCCCATGGCGCACGGTTGAGTGATGTATTTTATCTTGCAGCGCCAACGATGCTCACCTTTTGACTCGATTAAGTGTGTATGTGAACGGGGACAAATTGGTGATTTAGCGCCATTCCCGGGGTTCCCCAAGCTGCTGCCTTCGAAGCGGAGCTTGGCAAAGTGTGGCCAGAATGTGACCGTGATAAGGAGAACCTGCTTTCACTCAGGACTGTCCGCTTCTCTCCCGACAGGAGGTCATACTCAAGAGAGCCGCGGACCTGGTGGAGGCGCTCTACGGGATGCCGCACAACAACCAGGTGAGCGAGCGGGCCTCCCTCGGGCTCCGCGCGGCCGGGACCTCACGCTCCTTCGTGGGATGAAAAAGCGTGAAAACTGTAAAAGCCCCTGCACGCGTCCAGTTTAAGCCATTCAGACACGTCACGTTGCAAAGCTATTCCATTCTCTCTTCTTTTGTAAAATTTTTATTGCCTTTCCTATGGGATCGTTTTCCTTACGAGAAGAGGCACTCTGTTTAAAACGTACCCTTCCCTGGAAAAGTACTTCTTAAAGGAGGAGGAGAGTTGCTGGTGCTTTATTTTTATTCTTCAGGTTTTTAAGCCAATTGAGGAGGGAGAAGGGGGGGCTTAACGTCTTCTCTTAAAACATATAACAGGATCTGAATATAATTGTCTGCTTCTATTTCATACAGCAAGTCCACGTATAGGATGCAAGTTGCTCAGGAAACTATGAGTCTGACAAATAACTCCTATTTTTGTGTCACCTGAATCAAGGTCCAGGGGACACAGTCGTACTAATACTTGGGGACACAGATAGTTATCTACCACCTGCCCTTCACTCCAGCAGGAGAGCCGAGCTGCAGGACATGTGTGTGTGTGTGTGCGCGTGTGCGTGTGCGTGTAGCTCCCCAGTTCCTGTGTGTGCCTGGTGGGGAAGGGAAATCCCATGGCTCAGTCACATACTGTGAGGTGGTGCAGAAGGCAGGCTTTGATAATGGGCTTCCGAAGTCAGACAGATGGGGCTCTGCAGGCCAGCTCTGCCAAATACATATATATGTATATATATTTAAATATATATCTTTATTCATTTCAGGGAGAGGGAGAGAGAGAAACATCAATGATGATTTTATATTTAAGGCGTCTCCTTAAGTCAGGTCTTCACCTCTGGGAGCCTCGGTTCCGTTTTATGATATGGGCGTGATGACAGACTAAACCCAGAGGTCTGCAGAGACGGGCGCAGAAGTGAACACAGTTCCACGGCGGGGAGCTGGGAGCATGGCCTGCGGCCAGCAGCTGGACAAGGGCGTTGCTGGGAGTGTGGTGGGGTGGCTAACGGGGTGCGCCTTTCACTTTCCAGGAGATTATTCTGAAGAGGGCGGCTGACATCGCGGAGGCCCTGTACAGCGTCCCCCGCAACCACAGCCAGCTCCCGGCGCTCACTAACACTTCGGTCCACGCGGGAATGATGGGCGTGAATTCCTTCAGCGGACAACTGGCCGTGAATGTCTCCGAGGCCTCGCAGGCCACCAATCAGGGTCAGGAGCCCTCTTGTCTCCCTCCCCTTTCCCCTGTCCCCTCCCAACCTTAAGCTACACCACCCTCCCCCTTTATTTGGCACAAAACTTATTTGTATGTACAAGTTTTTTCCCAGAAGGGGAGGTTCCTAGTTAGTGTGCATCCGACACTATTGTAGCACTTTGGTTCTAGCTGTTTTGTCTGGGAATCTGGTGGAAGGGGCTGGTGAGACGCGTGCACCGGGCCACCTCTGCGCTCGACTTCTCCCCAGAAACCGCGAGCGACAGACCGCAGAGGGGCCCGAGGGGCCCAAGCGCATCATCCGCGCCCCGGGAACAGGCACCTGTTAGCTTCAGGGTGCATCTCCCAGATTGGGATTTATTTCTCCTCCAAAATCACAATTTATAGGCCCTGCTAAGTATTTATGATCTCCGAAGACGTGCGCCTGGTGCTCGCTTCCCATTTTAGTCACAGAGCTGGCGCCACCGACCCTGCGCATGAACCACCCGACCCCTTCCCTCCAGGGCGTGGTGAGGAGGGTAGAAAACAGCCCTTCCCCGCCCCATCGGGGCCACCACCCTCACCCCTGCTGTCGTCCCCACCTCTCAGGTTTCACCCGCAACTCAAGCAGCGTATCACCGCACGGGTACGTGCCGAGCACCACCCCCCAGCAGACCAACTACAACTCGGTCACCACGAGCATGAACGGATACGGCACAGCCGCTATGTCCAATTTGGGCGGCTCCCCGACCTTCCTCAACGGCTCGGCAGCCAACTCGCCCTACGCCAGTGAGTACAGACGTGCGCCCTGCGCTTCTGCACGTTTGCAGGTGGGGAGCTCAGCGCCCCGCACAGTGCACGCCCTGCCCGGGCTGACGCAGTGATGCTGCTGCTGGCCCCCTTGCCTCCAGCTCACAGCGTTGCCCGCCGTGGCTCACCTTTCTCCCCACAAAGCCTCCCTAACACGGCATGATGATATCATGGTAAGAACCCAAGGTGGGAGTCCGACGGAGAAGGGTCACTAACTGGTGGCCCTGGGCCACCAGTTGATCTCCTCTCCAAGCCTCAGTTTTCTCATCTGTAAAATGGGGAAGGAACTAGCCTCCACTCCATATAGTTGTGAGACTGATTAAAAAAAAAAGGCATGCAATGAGCTGGTCCTGGTGCCTGGCCCATGGGAAGCACATTCAGTAAATCCAAGTACTAATCATAATGATGAAATGATAATAATACGAGGTGCAGGTGATATAGCACAGTAACACCTGTCTAGAACTTAAACTCTCCCTTTAGGAATATGACTCGCTTGTTGGTTTTAGTGCCTTAAAACAATACAACTTTATTACCTTGCAACTCTAGAGGTCGGAGGTCCACAATGGGTTGGCAGGACTGGGCTCCTCCTGGAGGTTCTAGGGGGGAATCTGTTTTCCTTTGTTTTTAATGCTTGGAATTTTCCCCCTTTGTGTTTGATATGTACTTAAGAAAAACCAACCAATGGAAAAAAATAATTTTATTTTTTTCAAAAATCTGGCACAATAAACACACAGATGCACACACACACATATACACACAATAAATGTTCTTTGGTGCCTGTCTTAAAAATTTTGGTACCACATTTAGATTGCACCTAAAGAACCTCAATGAGCTGGTTACATGTAAAATGTCATGTGACTTTTCTCTCAGTCTCTCTCTGCGGTTTTTACATAGACAACCAAGTTCATCTTGGACAGTGTGGGTGACTGTTGGGTGAAGTGTGGCCAAACTTAGATGTTTGTAGAGTGACAGAAGGTGTGCTATTCAATGAAAGGATATTCATGATTTTTTGAAAAGAGTCTTGGCTGAAAATACTGACTATTCTGCTGTCTAGTAATGGAAAGTGGAGAGTGCTAGGCCTTTGAAAGAGGAAAGCTCAGTCCTGGCCTTTGGATGAACTTTTTCCTGAAAGCAATGCTTGGGGCCTTTTGCTTTCTGGGTGAGTTTTTGGGTTCAGTGTGTGTTAAATTTTTATATTTCTACTTTGTTTGGAATCAGCAGCTTGTTGAACATTT